ATTCAGATGCACTTTAATGTCACAACTAAGTTACTCACCAAATCACATGCAGATGATCCTCAAGCCGGTTGTTGGTTGAACGTTTTTGCAGAAACTCCTTGACTTTATCCAGCTCAGATGTTCTGCCTGCTTCAAAGCCACGTGAGTCATGAAAGACAAATGCTGTATTGCTCTCAAATATCATTTCATTCTCAATATCGTGCTCCCCTCTCTGCCACACTTTCAGTAAAATGTAATAGGGAGTGTAGATCCACATTACCTGTGCCGTTGGATTGAGCTCAGACAAGTCAATCTTTTTCACATCAATAATGATAGATGATGATGTCTAGAGCATGGAATACCTCATGACCCTCCGGATTGAAAATTTTCGGCTGTTCCGTTGTATTGCAAACTCGTTGGAGGATGGTTGTCTTCCCCGCGTTGGCGCGGCCAATGATAAGGACGCGAAAGCGGTTGGTGAGGTTTCGAACTCTGCGTGCTCGTCTCTGTTGTCTTTCTATATCCTCTGCGGCCTGGGATTCAACATTGGAAAGAGACATTTGTCGCTGGGATGCCTGAGATGGTGGAAGTGGTGAAGAACCAAGTTAAGCGCCACGGGCAGTGTATTGTTTGGTTATGCTGGGTCAGCCACTTGAGTGACGTCACTGACTCACTTTTCGTTTCTTCCCGTTCGTTCAACTTCATTCAAATGGAATTTTCCAAAGAAAGTCGGAAATGGGAACTCCGCCTCATCCGGATCAGGCCGGACTCCGCCTCATTCTCCGGACCACCCAGCTGCATTTTCTCCCTGTTGGCGAGCATTCCTTATGGATATTTATGATATTGAAACTTCTACAATGTATTGATACGTTATTTTTACAATTATCCTGGTTTCCGTCCGAAAAAGTGCTGAGATGCCGAAAGCGGTTGTTTTGATGAGCCATCCAAATTTGGGCGTCAACACAACCCACAACCTGTTCTCAACCACGACGCCCACCCACCACCACCGTCACCAGTGACGACCACTCTCGCCAGTGACGACGACAACCCACCACCCTCGCCGACCACCCACAACTACCCCGGCACGGCCCATCACCACAAGAACGACGCGGCAACACCACATCACCAGCCAGAAAGCACCCACCAGATCGACGGAAGGCGGATTGATGTGCCGCTTCGTTTGACGAGGTCGTGCCCAGCCAAGGTAAGCTAGCACGACCATTCCTCTTAGTCCCCCTCTTGACACCCAACAAGTGCCTGTTGCTGTCAGTGACGTGGGACCCAGACGACGAACGACGACTGATGTCGGCGTTCCTTTGGACACAGCAACAACATTACAACGCGACGACGACACTTGAAGCTTGAAGGGCCAGGACACGACACGACGTGAAACGACGACACCACACCCCCGGCGCGACATGACGACCACGACACAACCAGACCAATATGCCACAGCGACGACGACACACAACACGACGACGACGACACAATACCCCGATGCGACACGGACACGGACACGACACACGACCGCGACGACGCGACACCACAGCACGGCCACGACGCGACCGTGCCGATGCGACACCACGACACGAAGAACAACGACGATGCGAGCGAGGAGGTGAGGAGCGAAGCTCCGAGCTGACGAGCAAGGCGTTCTAGAGACTTTGGACGATTATGGCCGCGACGTAGACCAACGTTTCGTCTGTTAAAGAGACTCATCAGGCGGCGGGGTGGTCTTTTACCACCAAGAAGAACATTACGTAACTATCCCAGAATCACGGGATCACGTGTGTGCGCCCTCAGAGTTGCGGAATCCGCGATGGAACTCGACGCGTTTAGTTCACTCTCGAGGCCCTTTTGATTTCTAACCCCTCAATGGTAGAGTACTAGATTGTCTACCATTGCTTGTAGGTTGTTAGAGTGATAGGAAACTGAAATTTATCTTCATTCAATTTATTCTTTGGGTGACTCTGCTGCAGGCAGCTGAAAGGTGATTTAAAAGTCACGTATCACCGGTATCAAATGCATAGAATGAAGTGGAATAAAATTTCC